TGACCAACTATGATCTACGTGACTCACAACACACGCAATTAACAACTCCAATTTGTTTGCCCTATGAATGACATTGCAGCTCTCAACACCCACATCTATGGTCTATGGACATTATTAGAGCTTCCAACCCTAAATTTTGTGGTCAATAGATGCTATTGTAACTCACCACTACGACCTACGTGGCTAACAACTCTTGTAGCTCTCAACTTTGGCTTTTATGGCTTATTGATGTTATTGCAGCTCACCACGATCTATGTGAACAACTATAAGCTTGGTGAATCACAGCTCACATAGCTCTCAACTTCATTTTCTATGGTCTACAAATGTTATTGTAGCTCTAAACTCTGGCCTACGAGAACCTATGTTGCTGACTGTTATCATTAAAGCCCCTCACTATGGCCTTTATGGCCAACTGATGGTATCGCAACTCACTATTACGCTCTGTCTGACCAACTATGGCCTACATAGTTCACAATTTATGCAGCTTCCAACTATTACCTACGTGGCTCACTGTAATTCCAACTATAACTTTGGTGGCCAATTAATGTTAATATAGCTCTCCACTATGACGTGTGTTGCCAACCATCACTCATGAAACTACCAACAACAACTTATATAGCTCACCATCACTACGACTATCAACTATAGTCTCTATGACAAGATGAGGCTATTACATCCACAAAAAATTACATTTGTAGTGGTACAATCACAACTATTTAAATTGGACTACTATTTTAATTTTGTAATTCTATCTTTCGTAATTCAGGAGAAGAGTGGACTTATGAACTCAGAACAACAGTGGATTACTTCAAATGGGCTAGACTTTATGGCTTTGTCCCTCTCGGGGGTTTTTCACGTAAGAAATCATGTTGTCCCATGTTACTTCTCTATTGTATGTGTGCGTGTTAGATCCTCGCGCAACGCTAAGACGCTAATTTATTACTCTACCACCATGAATCATTAGAAACGCAATAATTTGGCTCAATCTATGAGAAAAAAAAGTCTTATTCAACATAGTATTGAAGTTGAGATGCCCAACCCCTGCTTTATTTGTAAATGATACATATCACACTAATAGAGAAGGATTATTAAAACCTCTCTCACCCTTCTTAATTTTACAAAAAGGGATGAAAGTCACAAAAAAGATGACTTTAAAAGAATTTTTAGTATGAGGGAAACCATCATTGTGGCTTAAAAATCGTTCACATTATCACTCTGGGCATGATTGTAGTAGGGAAGTCATCTCATGTCTCATCCATAAATCAAGTTTAAAAGATGCATTTCAAGCTAAGGGACAACCATTGTTGCCACCTCGACAACTCAGTTATGTTAACATCTTGTGCATGGTTGATGATTATGGTAGGATAGTCTTCCTGTATCTTATTCATACACCATGTCTATAAGAACTAACTCTATGACTTACATACGTCATTACATCTCATCACTATGGTCCTTGTGACCAACCACGGCTTACACAACTCATAGTTGATGCAGCTTCCAACTATGACCTCTACAGCTTATGGATGTTATTGCATCTCTATATTACGACCTTTGTGGTGAATGGACGCTTCTGAAGCAACCATGTACGACCTATATAATAAACTACTACCATGACTTTCAACTATGACTTCTATGACAAGCTGACACTGCAACCACCATCAACAATATTCACAGTGTACTACTTCCTACGTAATAATCGACTATAGATTTCACGGCCACATTACAAATATTATTTCAGAAATATCATTTTACATCAATTTTGCAATTCAATCTTCCCTAACTTGGAAAAAAAGTGGGTTTGTGAAATCACTATTAAACAGTGCATTATTTCAACTAGGCCAGACCCCATAGTTTTTCCCCATTCTCAAGTTATTTTCACAAAAACCTTTTTGTGTCTCTACAATTCACTTGAATTATCTGAGTGTG